TAAACATACAATCATTTTATGAAATAGATCAGTGGAAACAAAATAATAACAAAGCTACTATACTAATAAAATGACCAACAACCGAGTAAAACATACTCCCTCCGTCCCAAAATATTTGCCACATTTGTTTTTTCAACAGTCGCGGGAACTTTTGTTCATTTCTACGTTTTCATTACTTATTTGATAAAATAAAATATTCTTGACACCTCTTATTTCGAAGAACTTTTCATGTAGTTTTTTTATATGTAATTTTTATTTTTTATTTCTTTACCAATATGTAAATAAAATGATTTGAAAAAACTTGATATTTTGTCTCGGTAATAGAAATGTGACAAATAATTTGGGACGGAGGGAGTACAACATAAAACAATAGTGCAATATAGTGACGTGGCACTATTAGTGTAGTGGTATTGAAAAGTGCCCGTCCCTTCCATTCTTCTACACCTCGATCTCATTTAATTTAATGTGTTCTTTTTCGTATTTTAGAACTTGAATAAGATTTTCGAGACGTCCATCTGCACTATCCTGGCATGATTTTGGCATGAGATTCTCTACATGACAACACCTGCAGGTGTGATTCTTGTCTCCGTTATCAGTAGCTCTATCGATCCAAACTTGGGATGATCCTCTAATCCTAGGCAGTTTCTTGCTAGCACTTTGAATCCCTCAAAGGTGTAATAAGACAACTCGATGTGCTTGTCCATTCTCCCCCTTCTTGTTAAAATGGGATCCAACTTCTCGACATGGTTGGTGGTGAACACAATGTTTAAACGTTATGAAAATTTGATAAATGAAAACAATATTTTGAACTAGACTTAATTTTATTATTTACACTATAACTAAATATAATATTTAATATTTAATATAAAATTTGAGTATTTAAAACTTACGTTCGGTAAAAGTGTAAATTCAATCTCGACTCGGGCCTCCTACAGTGCTTCATTCAAAAAAATGATGGTAATAGGTCCCAAAAACCCCCAGCCCCTCCCCTTGTTTGCCATTTGCTACTGTGGTCGCTGTAGCAAATCAGCGAACTAGGGGTGGCACAGGGGCATATTGGATTTAAGGAGGGTTAAGGGGTAGGTACCATTACTTTTTTGAATGGAGTACCGTATCGTAGGAAGCTGGGATCATATTATGACATTGCAAAGCAACGTTACTTGAACCACACCGTTAAAATATATAAAAGTTGAAAGTAATTAAGTACTCAACTATTTTCTCAAAACCCATCCATCCAAAGACCAAAATATCAGTTGGTCTAAGTGTGGATCTTTCTTTTATCATATCAGTCAAGAAATTTACATGCTTTTTTTCTTAACAGAAACCAAATCATGTCAGTACTTAAATCTGAGTAGTTATCTACAATGTACTGCATGCTCTTCAAATGGACCCAAATAGGTAGGGGTGAGCATGGTACAGTATTTAGCTCGTACCGAAACCGTACCAAATATTTTGCTTCGGTATGAGATTTTACTCCGTACCGATCCCGATCTCAAAATATTGGTTCGGTATGGTTCGGTATCGGTACAAATCGGGTTGAATATACATACCTACTTTACATGTTAAAATTTAACAATATCCCTTTATTTTTGAAAAATTAAAAGTGAATTTAAATAAAAAAACATGAAAAATTAAAAAAAATTAATATTTAAATGCAAGAGATGCGTATCAAAACTTAGTTTATATTTCACAAACTAAAAAAATGAATGAAAACAAAGGAGTATTTCAAATCTTTGTGAATACTTTTATGTTCATACACAAAAATTAAAACTCAAATAAAAGTATAATTTACACATCATAGAACTTGAACCAATTTTTTTTTAAAAAATTATTATTTAGTGAATTGAAGGAATATAAAAATATTACTCCGGGGTATTATTTTTTTATAATACTTTAGTATATATGTTCGGTATGGGATTTTTGGTATGAGACGTCACCTCGTACCGTTCCTGAATACCGTATCGACCATTCAGTTCGGTATGATTCAGTTTCTTCTCAGTATTTTTTCGGTTTGGTACTTTTCGATTTGGTATTCTTGGGTTTTTCGGGAAATTTCGGTATCGGTTCAGTACTTGCTCACCCCTACAAACAGGGCACAACTCATCAACCGAAAATAAAGGAATCATGAGCAATACTCCACCGGCGCTATATGTTGGCCAAGCCCATCTTTATGGATAGCAAAAAGAAATTTTGGGCATTGGTACGTGCTTGAAAAAATTATTTGGGAGGAAATTCTCTGTATTTCTCTCTTGTCTTTACAATTTACAATGAGGACATATATATAGGATTTTAGGGCCTGTTCTTTAGGACTTGAACTCTTGACTTCCAGTTCCTTCCAGTTTTTTCCAGTTTCTTCCAATTCTTCCAGTTTCTTCCAGTTCCTTCCAGTTCCTTCAAGTTCCCTCCAGTTTCTTCCAGTTTCTTCCAGTTTTTCCCAACTTTCTCATTTTCTTCAAATTCTTTCTACTCTTCAACCAATTACTCTAAAAATGATATATTTCAATGTGATTATTATTATTATTATTATTATTATTATTATTATTATTACAACTGTTATATTCATAACTGTAGTTTATAAATTATTTTTATCATCTCACTATTTTTACAATTCACACTTATTGTTTTTTTCTTCAACTTTTTAATATGAATAAGACATTTTTTTGTACATTAGTCTACATGATAAAATAAGAAAACATAAATATGTTAAATTATACTAAAAAATTATGGATAAAATAGTTACATTGAACGTTTTATTAATATAACTTTTCATAAGACATCTCAATTTTCCCTTTATTACTTAAAAATTGCTCATTTTTCTAATTTTTATAAAAAAAAATTGTAAGTCAAAAGAGCTTAGAGAAAAAGACTAAAATATGAGTAAAACATAAAAAATATAAACAAAAAAGTTCTATGTCTTAATTCCAAAAATAGGAATTCAATGAAAATACATTATTTATAATAAGTACGGCATAAATAAATTAAGGTGCAATATAACTACACAACCTTTTTAAAATTTAATATTTTTATATTTATGCTAACTTTATATTATAATTATTTTTTGTAAAAGTAGTTTTTTGTATTTAAAAAATAACAATACTTTTTTTATATCTTAAAGACATTCACTAAGATATCGTGATGATGATGATGATTATGTTGATGATTATGATGATGATTGTTATGATGATGATGATGATAATAATAATAATAATAATAATAATAATAATAATAATTTATAACAACAAGAATTGAAAATAAATATTTTTAAAGTTTTTTAGGTTTACCAGTTTTTTCCAGTTCTTTCTAGTTTTTTCCAGTTTCTTCTAGTTTCTTCCAGTTTTTTCCAGTTTCTTCTAGTTTTTTCCAGTTTCTTCCAACATCCAGCTTTTTTTTTACAGTCCTAAAGAACAGGACCTTACAAATTTAGACCCCCAATCAATAAAGGAAAAGGAAAAGGAAAGAATCCCTATACAAGGAAAACTACCAAAACAATATATACACAAATATCTCCAAATATTCTACCAAATATTCTCTTTTCTTTAACACCCCCTTCAAGTTAGAGCATGTAGTAACGAAATGCCCAACTTGGGAAGAAGAAACTCCAAACGTGACTTTCCGAGTGCCTTTGTATGAATGTCTGCAAGCTGATGCGTAGTAGGCACATGAACTGTACGAATCTCTCCTCGCAAGAGCTCATCATGAACGAAGTGACAATCAATCTCAATGTGCTTCGTGCGCTCGTGGAAAACTGGATTAGCAGCAATGTGAAGTGCTGTCGTGCTGTCACACCGGACCGTCATGGGGTTCTTATGCTCAACCCCTAAACACCGCAATACATTCTTCAACCACTTCAACTCGCATGTAAGGACAACCAAAGCTCTATACTCTGCTTCAGGAGACGAGCAAGCCACTGTCAACTGCTTCTTTGTTTTCCATGAGACAGGCGAGTCTCCAAGCTGCACAAACCACCCTGTCAATGACCACCTCGTCAAAGGACATGCTGCCCAGTCCGAATCACACCATCCTGTGAGTTGAAGACTACTCTCCGCTGATAGAAAAATGCCTTGACCCGGACATCCTTTCAAATAACGAACAACTCTAAGGGCCGCAGACCACTGATCCTCCCTCGGTTCCTTCAAAAACTGTGCTAAAGTGTGGACGGCGTAAGAAAGTTCCGGTCGTGTAAGGGAGAGATAGACCAACCTTCCTACCAACCGTCGATATGGTTCTGGATCTGCAAGAACTGGGGCTTGGGAACGAGCCAAGTGATGATTTGGCTCCATCGGGGCACCCAATGGCCTGGCACCTAACAACCCCGCCTCCGTGATGATATCTAAGGCGTACTTTCGTTGGCAGAGAAAAATCCTAGACGTGCTCCTCGCCACCTCAATGCCAAGAAAGTATTTTAGTGTTTCCAAGTCCTTCATATGAAAACAATCTCCGAGATAGGATTTGAACTTGCTTACCATCTCTGTATTATCTCGAGCAATAATCAAATCTTCAACATAAACCAAAACATATATGACTCCTTTCTTTCCAACAAAAGAAAATAAGGAGTAATCAGCAACAGATTAGACAAACCCATAGCATTTCAAGGCTCCAGACAACTTGGCAAACCAACACCTTGGAGCTTGCTTTAAGCCATACAGAGATTTCTTGAGTTTGCACACCACATTAGACGAATTCGAGAAACCAGGTGGCAATCTCCACCTCATCCTAAAGATCTCCGTGTGGAAACGCATTGTGAACATCCATCTGATGCAATTCCCACCACCCCTTAACTGTTGCAATTGCTAAAAGTGTTCTCACAGTGGTCAACTTGACTACAGGAGCAAATGTTTCTTTGTAGTCAAGTCCTTCAACCTGATGATTGCCAAGTATAACAAGTGTAACGCCCCGAAACCCGGCCTATCAGAATTAATTAAATGGAGATAATTCATTAAGTATTGAGATGGACCCGGTAGGAATTATATATATATTTAGTTTGGAAATAATGATTATACCGTTATGTAGGGTTCGACAGATCGAATCCAACGGTGAAATCGGATTTGGATTTGGAGTCTGTGGGCCTGGAAAGTGCGTTTGGGCCAGGTACGTTTAGTTAATACGGAACCCAAAACCCCAAAAGTATAAATATACTCCTTGCACGACTAAAACCCTTACGCCCCATACTATTGTTACGTAACAGAGCAGAAGGACGAACGCAACAGAGGAAGAAAAAGAAGAAGAAGAAGGAAGAAGAAGGAAGAAGTAGCCGCTGTTCGTCTCCACGCCGCTAACACTACCTCGGTAATCTTTAATCGTCGAATTCGAGGTGAGTACGTGGTCATCTAACGTATGGATATATTCGTAGGTTTGAATCTTACGTTCGTAGAATCGTTACGGTTGATTTATGTGGACTATACGTAAATTATGTTTTGTGTTTGTTATTTATGATCTGAAAAGCATGAATTGTGTTGGAATGATTGGGGATAGGTTATGTAATGTTGGGTTAATGTTTTATAATCTGTTGTGCTTGCTTTCGCTGGAGTGGGTGCTGCCTAAGGGAAGGAATTGGAGCTGGTGCAGGTCTGGGTTGGGGTGTTACATTTTGGTATCAGATCATATGGTTTTAAAACCGATCTTCGGATAAAAAAATAAATAAATAAATGGTTTCCAAAAGCTGCACCACATCTCTTGCAACTCATCAACCCCGGGAAGGTAATAAGTTTATACCCTTGCTTGTTATGTGCTAATAACTGACTAGGGATTTATGTGTAGATTTAGAATGAGTAACACATCAACGCACGCTCATGACAACACCCAGCAAGTGGGTGACGACCACAACGATGCCGAGACCGAGGCATCTAGCTTTGTGCCTCAACAGAATGCTGGGCAGCCCAATGTGCCACTGAACGCAGGAGATAATCAGAATTTCGGGAATCCACCCGAGACTGTCATGCCCGCTTTCATGACACAATTTCTACAGCAGATGGCCAATGCGCCGATGTTCCAGCAGCCCCAGCCGCCGCGGCGACACATCACCTTCAAAACTCTGAAGGACAACGGAGCAGAGGAGTTCCTTGGGGATAGAGTGGTCGAATCCCAAGTGGCTCTTGATTGGATTGAGCAGGTGGCTAGGGTGCTCAATGACCTGGATGTACCGGTTGTGGATCATCCAAAGTTGGCATCTCAGCTACTCCGCAAGGGAGCATACGAGTGGTGGAAGCGTATTGACAGCGAGCCGCAAACGCCGAAACCTTGGACATGGGCATATTTTGACTGTCTTTCAAGAAAGAATATATCCCAACTCGCTTCCGAGAACAGAAGTGGTCAGAGTTCATGGAGCTGGAACAGGGGGACATGACCCTCGCCGAGCTACGACAGAAGTTTGACCATTTGGCTCAGTTTGCACCCACGTTGGTGTCTACACCTGCTGACAGAATTGAAGAGTTCATGAAGAGGTTGCGCCCTAATGTGCGTCCTTATGTTTCTACTGTGGTCACCACCGACTTTTCAGTGGCTTATGACCTGATGGCTAAGGCAGAGAAAGCGGTGGATGATCTGAAGGCAAGCTTGGGTGCTGGAGGGTACCCAGAACCACTACCAGCGCGGCACCAGCGCGGCACCGAGCGGAAAGAGATCCTTGGGCGGTACTAAGGGTACTTAGAACTTCAAGAAGACCAAGTCCGCGCCGGCTCAGTCACAGGCGGCGAGCAACCGAAGCAAACCTTCCAAGCATCCGGTGTGTAACCTCTGTGGAAGGAACCACCCTGGCGAATGCTGGTTCGCGCAGGGCTTATGTTTGGGATGCAGGAAAGACGGACACTTCCGCAAGGACTGCCCAACTAACTCCGGGCGTGCCTTCCCCGTAGCCGAGGTGCAGACACAGAAGGTTGGTCAAAGGCCAGCATAGAGCCAGAGGTCTACCGCCAACAGGGACACGCGCCTGCACGCACCTATGCCATGCAGGGGCGTGTGCTAGCATCTTTCATGAAATACTGAATTGCTTGAGAGTTATTGTTGAACTATTATCATAGTAAATCAGAATTTATTCTTGCTTGAAATGTAAACTTTCTAGAATATTCCAAAGCTAAATAGCTTGATAAGCAAAACTTGTCACAGCAACATATTTGTAGGGGAATTAAACACACAACACAAATAAATAATATGCGAGAATCAAGAGAGAACGGAACATGGACGACACACAAGAATTTAACATGGTTCGGTTTCCCTACTCCATGATTGCAACAGGAGGATTTTATTCACTTGCCGTGTCTCACGGAATTACAAGTACAAGGTGTATATATATAGGAAAACACATAGGGTTATGAAACTTGTTTCTCCAAAAAACAAGAAACAAACGGGCTAAAAAATAAGACAGGCCGATCCAAGTCGGGCCCAAACGTGTCTAGCCTCCACAAAACCCAACAATATTTTTGAAAGACCATGAACACATAGCAAACATGCTTTTTCTATCATCCAAATCACCACCATAGCCACTATAAGTACAACCAAACAATTCCGACTTCCCACCTTTCATGTAAAATAGACGATCACTTTTAAGTTTTAATCATACAAATTTCACTACAAAAAAAGGCGGCTTTTGCCACACTTAAACTTGCAATTCGCAACACATATAAGTGCGGGAAAGAGTGTTCGCCACACATGTGCTAAGTGTGGCGGCGGGGAATGTAGGGAAAATTTTGCCACACATAAAATAAGTGTGGCAAATTACTTACATTAAGCACATTTACAAGTGTTGTTAATCTTTTCGTTTGCCACATTTGTAAGTGTTTCCAACGCACCGCACATGTAAATGCGGCAATTTTTAATTGTTTGGAAAAAAATAAAAATACAATATGCACATAAATATGTGTGGCTAATCACAACTGCATAACTAACTTTTAAAAATTATATATATATATATATATATATATATATATATATATATATATATATATATATATATATATATATATCCCTTAATTCGATCTCATTCCACAGACTTGGGAACAAATACACTTGTACTTCAATCTAAGTTTGGGGAGGAGGAGGATAGCACAATTTCAGATTGTATGGTTGTTGCAGAATCTGGTTTACCTCTTGATGCTGCAGAGACTCCTCTAAACGCAGAGGTCATCAGGGAAGATGCACAACCTAGTTTTCTCCACAAAGTAGCTAGGGGTAAGCAGATTGATTCTGTCCAAGGCCTAGAAGACAACCTCCAACCATATTCCATCCTCTACCCCCCGTTGCCAAGATTCAGTCTTTCTCCTTTTGCCAACGAATTCATTCCCACTATGCCTAATTCCTTTGCAGCACTTTTCAGCCAAGAAGATGCCATTGAAACATCATTGGAACCACTTGCTTCAGATGACCCATTGGCAAATATTGATGGAAGGAATATGGCACTCTCCAACAATGCCATTGAGGATTTGCCACATGAAAGAGATGAGCCTATACTTTACACACACTCGGATGGAGAGGACATGGCCTTTATAGATTATAGACTTAAACCCCTCCAAATAGACATTTCAAGGTGCTCTAAGACACCATTATTTCTGGGAAGGGTGTTTAAAGGTCGGAAAACTTTCTCTCCATCTCATATGGTCACTAGAAGTAAAGCGAGGCTGCTTACTGAAGGTAGAAAAAATAATCCTTTGGGCTTGTTAGATGAATCAAATGACTCAGCCAATTCCTTCGCTAATGATATTATTGAAGCCTTCAAACTAAGTTGTCCAGTTAAGAAGGAGACTGCTCCTAAAACCCCCCATCATCCCATTACCCGAAGCCAAAAAAGGAAAGCAAAAAAGAAGGCTAAGCTTGCTAAGGTAGTGGATCCGAACTGGGATGATTTTCAAGACGGTTTCCTCTAATCTTTTTATTCTTCAGTATTGGATTCTTTCATATGTGTTTATATTATAAAGCATTTTGTTGCAAAGAGGTCAACAGGATTTCAACGGCATGGTCCCTGGTTTTTCTTTCAAAAAGTCTGGGTAATACGGAGTAGCATATTACAACTATTGTTTTTCTTCTTCTTGTGACCTGATCCTATTTGGTGAGCTCACCTCCAGAGCTCCATCGTCAAGATATAATTAACAGGGTGCACGCGGTTAGATAAAGGGGGTAAATTTTCCCCACTGGATCAACTTGTTTTATGCCTTTGTTACTACGGTTTGGAGCTACAGCATGGCCCTACTTTGACTGCGGGCATATGGAATTGACCATGGGGACATCTATTGCACTCTGGTTTTTGTTGTCTACTTTATATACTCTTTCTTGTAGGGATATTCGTCCCCTTAGCCTTATCAGAATGCTCCCTTGATAATGCAGACAAAAAGCACAGGTCATGAAGCAGTAATTCTTCACAGTTACTGGTGGATGATATTGTAAAGGGATATTTGCAAGATTACAACTTCAACCATGGTCCCGTACTCCTTTTTTTGTTGTTTTGAGCCTTTTGTATTTAGTTTTTTGCTTGGAATATTGCTTGGCTGGTTTGTTGGGGTTAGGCCACCCCCTATCTTGTACTTCTTTTTTGTTAATAAATTTCCTTTATATATATATATATATATATATATATATATATATATATATGTATATATAACTCAAGGATACAAAAGTTTAAAGTAACTCAATTTGAAAATCATGGAAATACAAAAACTAAGCTATCATCAAATTATAGTCCCATAGGCAGTATCAAAAATCTAGTGTCAAAATAAATAGTGAGTTCCAACATCAATTGATCCTCTAATAATGAGTTCCAAAAAAATAAAAAAGAAATGCAATAGAGTCATTATATTGTTATATGATATGCTCTCTAACAATAGTGTCTTCATCAAATTCCCACAAGCCCTGCCAAGTCAGCCATGCCATGCCAAATCAATTTATCTTCGATCTAGTATCTTATACATAGGCCTGACTTCAATTTACAAGAAAGATTTACCATCTTTTCTTGTGTTATTATCTTTGCTCGACATCTGCAAAGTCCAAAGAACATATTTGAATTAAATCTCTATCATATAAAAATTAAATCTCTATCTAAGAAAATGAAGTAAAGAGCTTTTGGGTGTTTGTATGGGTGTAAAAACCAGCATTCTAACCAATTTGGTTCTTAACTACTGCCATTCTTTTAATCTCTTTTCAAATTTGATATCAAATGCCAAAGTTTGGTTCAAGTTAAACTCAGAAAACTGAACACAATGACTGTAAACATCAGCATTCAAAAACCAGAAAACTGAACACTGAAAATTTATGACTGTAACTCCAATTACTGAACACTGAACCCTGAAAATTGAACAATGACTGTAAACTCAGAAAACTGAACACTAAACACTATGACTGAACACAATGACTATAAAAACCAGCATATATATACAATATAATGTACTTACAAGTATAGATCTTTCGAGCTTTTCACATAGTATTGTGTTTAACAGATTTGGTTCTGCCTTATTCTTGCACAAACCAGTAGCCTGCAGATATGAAACACACAGACACATAAGATTTTCTAAAAGAATAAAAGGATAATAAAACTTTCAAACTATTAATTTTAATTTCAAGTTTTACCACTCCCTCTAAGAACAGAAGAACAAATTCTCTTTTTGCTGGAGATCGATATTTTTGTACACTACAAGAATTTATCTAATCTGCAACGGATATCTGCTACAGAACCGTTTCCGTAGCAGATCTGCAAC